TTTTATTTTTATTATTGGTTTTATTTTAACAGTTTGCAATTGTACTCTTCGGTTTTAGTACAATTTAATAAAAACGTGGTTCGACGGATTTGTAAGCAGAAATGGCAATGGGTTGACCATATAGCTCGAAGAAGCGATAACCGATGGGGAAGATAGGTTCTTGAGTGGCAGATTCGTACGGGTAGGCAAGAGTCGGGCGACCACCCACTAGATGGAGTGACGACCTGGTAAGACATGTAGGAAGTCGATTGTTTAGGTGGCTCTGGGCCGTGCTTGGTTTTTTTTTATAAGAAAGGGTGATAAACGAGCACACAGTCCACCTGATGGCAAGTGGTTGTTGTGGCCCATAGAAATCTATATCTCTCCTCGATAACAAATCAAAATCGCTTGATGGTATTCCTTGGGGGAGGCCCATGTTCAGCAGTGGACTTGTCAAGGGCTGTAACGGTGATGATGGTGATGAGTTTGCATTTAATACGTAGACATCACAGACTACCCAGCCAACTAGTAGTAGACTGGGTGGTGTGTGGTAGAAACGGTTTTTTTCTATAACAAATTAAAATACAATCAAAGAGCCTCGTTAGTGTTTATAATTTAATTTGTTTGCTGTCTCTTTACCGAGCACTACCCCGAAAAACTGTTTATCCGGAAAACGGTTTATATTGTCTCTCTAAGTATTAATCGAGAGATAATGTCAGCGAAGCTTAGCTTCTATTTAATGGCACTTACTGAAACATTATTTGACAAAACATTGTCCCAGTACACCAAAGAATCATTGCGTATAAATCCACAGGATTTTTTGTTTATTTCTACACGGACCAACTGGCGAGTAAAAGCTGGTAATTTATAGGAGTTAATATAAATTAGTTAAATTTAGAATAAAATGGAAGTGGGAAAAATAGCAAAGTATATATAATATAGAAAGCAAAGAAAGAAATATAGCTAGAGTATGCTCAGGGTTCACGGTTCCATTGTCGCCCGTCTTAGAAACGGACTTTAGTAAAATATAGTTATACCATCTAGACCGCATTTAGGTCACGGTAGCCAGTCTCAACAGAGTCGACCCATCTTCGTAGAAGATGATTATGATTATAGTGGACGCGATTGTGTATAAGCACAGGTATACTCTCTATTCCCTCATTTCCATATTCCGAGAGGACGGCTATCTGATACGACTGGAGAGAAGTCAAGCGTAGGACCAACGGCTTTACGTGCTTTCCGAGGCGCCGGAATGGAATATCGCCAACTTCTTGACTCCGGGCTGCTACTGAGTATTTCTTGGCAGAAATTCTTCATAATTGATTTATTTTTGCCCGATACGGGATATAAACCCGGAACCTCACGATCAGCATTCGCACCGACGATCACTACTAGACTAGAGAGTTGATACGAAAATAAACATATTTATTTAAAAACATTAATATAGAAAATTGATTTGGCTTTGAGAGAACACTGAAGTTAGAAAAGTCAAATTATCTAATGATGGGGTCAACTTGGCCTATTATTGACGTGCATCACATACTTATTGTACTGCAATTGTAATCTTTTTTGTAGAATAAAGTGAAAAAACAAGCACATTTTGATAGCAAATGGATGTAGATGCGTTGTCACCCCTTGGGACTAAGATAGCATGCCTCATTTCCAGTAAAAAGGGTCTTCGGTCAATACATCCACCATACGAAACACAGCGGCATTAAGCTGCTATTTTCGCTGATATTATGTGAATGCTTGGTCCATAGCTATGGAGTAAGCTCTACCACTCACCTTTTCCAGCTTTTGTCAAGCTGTGAACTTACTAACACGTAATCAGTATGGACTTAACCTTTGATATTATAATTATTTTAATTGGACGCTGTCTCTATTGGTCCAATGGTCGTTAATGGCTGTGACTTGGTTTTCGCGCTAACGTAGTTAAAATCGTGCCCACGTAATCACGTTTTTTTTTTGGAAAATAATGGTGACAAACTAGCACACAGTCCACCTGATGGTAAGTGGATGCCGTGGCCCATAGACATTTACATTTACACTAGATTCAGAATTAAAACGCAGGTACGTTGTCACCCCCGAGGGCTAAGATGGAATGCCTCGTTTCCAGTAAAAAAGGGTCTCTGGATCTCTTCACTCACCATGCGAAACACAGCAGTATTAAGCTGCTATTTTACGCTGGTATTCTGTGAGAGCCTGGTCGTACCCCGGTTGAGCTGACCCATTCATATTACAAAAATAATATCTATATCTGCAGATTGGCTCTAACACAAATATTACTACTATTTAATACGAGGGCGGCACTGAAAATTACAAAAATAATATCTATATCTGCAGCTTGGCTCTAACACAAACATTACTAATATTTAATACGAGGGCGGCACGGAAAATTACAAAAATAATATCTATATCTGCAGCTTGGCTCTAACACAAACATTACTAATATTTAATACGAGGGCGGCACTGAAAATTACAAAAATAATATCTATATCTGCAGCTTGGCTCTAACACAAACATTACTAATATTTAATACGAGGGCGGCACTGAAAATTACAAAAATAATATCTATATCTGCAGCTTGGCTCTAACACAAACATTACTAATATTTAATACGAGGGCGGCACGGAAAATTACAAAAATAATATCTATATCTGCAGCTTGGCTCTAACACAAACATTACTAATATTTAATACGAGGGCGGCACGGAAAATTACAAAAATAATATCTATATCTGCAGCTTGGCTCTAACACAAACATTACTAATATTTAATACGAGGGCGGCACGGAAAATTACAAAAATAATATCTATATCTGCAGCTTGGCTCTAACACAAACATTACTAATATTTAATACGAGGGCGGCACGGAAAATTACAAAAATAATATCTATATCTGCAGCTTGGCTCTAACACAAACATTACTAATATTTAATACGAGGGCGGCACTGAAAATTACAAAAATAATATCTATATCTGCAGCTTGGCTCTAACACAAACATTACTAATATTTAATACGAGGGCGGCACTGAAAATTACAAAAATAATATCTATATCTGCAGCTTGGCTCTAACACAAACATTACTAATATTTAATACGAGGGCGGCACGGAAAATTACAAAAATAATATCTATATCTGCAGCTTGGCTCTAACACAAACATTACTAATATTTAATACGAGGGCGGCACGGAAAATTACAAAAATAATATCTATATCTGCAGCTTGGCTCTAACAGCTTTAATACGAGGCGCGGCCGGAAAATTACAAAAATAATATCTATATCTGCAGCTTGGCTCTAACACAAACATTACTAATATTTAATACGAGGGCGGCACGGAAAATTACAAAAATAATATCTATATCTGCAGCTTGGCTCTAACACAAACATTACTAATATTTAATACGAGGGCGGCACGGAAAATTACAAAAATAATATCTATATCTGCAGCTTGGCTCTAACACAAACATTACTAATATTTAATACGAGGGCGGCACGGAAAATTACAAAAATAATATCTATATCTGCAGCTTGGCTCTAACACAAACATTACTAATATTTAATACGAGGGCGGCACGGAAAATTACAAAAATAATATCTATATCTGCAGCTTGGCTCTAACACAAACATTACTAATATTTAATACGAGGGCGGCACGGAAAATTACAAAAATAATATCTATATCTGCAGCTTGGCTCTAACACAAACATTACTAATATTTAATACGAGGGCGGCACGGAAAATTACAAAAATAATATCTATATCTGCAGCTTGGCTCTAACACAAACATTACTAATATTTAATACGAGGGCGGCACGGAAAATTACAAAAATAATATCTATATCTGCAGCTTGGCTCTAACACAAACATTACTAATATTTAATACGAGGGCGGCACGGAAAATTACAAAAATAATATCTATATCTGCAGCTTGGCTCTAACACAAACATTACTAATATTTAATACGAGGGCGGCACTGGAAAATTACAAAAATAATATCTATATCTGCAGCTTGGCTCTAACACAAACATTACTAATATTTAATACGAGAGCGGCACGGAAAATTACAAAAATAATATCTATATCTGCAGCTTGGCTCTAACACAAACATTACTAATATTTAATACGAGGGCGGCACGGAAAATTACAAAAATAATATCTATATCTGCAGCTTGGCTCTAACACAAACATTACTAATATTTAATACGAGAGCGGCACTGAAAATTACAAAAATAATATCTATATCTCCACTTGAACTACTTACAACAAAAAATACGAACGGCACCGGAAAATTACAAAAATAATATCTATATCTGCAGCTTGGCTCTAACACAAACATTACTAATATTTAATACGAGAGCGGCACGGAAAATTACAAAAATAATATCTATATCTGCAGCTTGGCTCTAACACAAACATTACTAATATTTAATACGAGGGCGGCACGGAAAATTACAAAAATAATATCTATATCTGCAGCTTGGCTCTAACACAAACATTACTAATATTTAATACGAGGGCGGCACGGAAAATTACAAAAATAATATCTATATCTGCAGCTTGGCTCTAACACAAACATTACTAATATTTAATACGAGGGCGGCACGGAAAATTACAAAAATAATATCTATATCTGCAGCTTGGCTCTAACACAAACATTACTAATATTTAACACGTTAAACGCCATGTAAGAAATGTGATTTTACTCCAAAAATTTTTTTGTAGTCATTTTGTTAATAATCATGATATATGTATAGAAATCAGTTTTTATCGAAATCAAAAATACAGTTTTCAAGTTATTGCTGAAAAACTAGCCGCGGGCACCTGTGACCCCCATGGCGCTCAAAAGCAAAAAAAGTTATTTTTCGTTTGCATGCGCCACGCCGCCCACCCCGCCGGTCACCCCGCGCTCCAGTCTATCGCCGGCGCTTGCGCGGAGAGGTTATGTTCGTTTGGTTTTTGGCTAATTAGAATACGTCTAAAGCATATTTCATGTTAGTTATGTTTAGTAATTCATTGCGATGGAAAATAATATAGTACCTAATAATGAGGAACGCGATTTTTGCGAATTTCAAATGGATTTGGCGGACTTTGAATTGTCGCAAGAAGATTTGCAAGAGATTGAGACTTTGGAGTTCAACGCACTTCAGACATCGTTCAGGGATATCAGTAGCGACGATGAGTCTGAAAATTTACATGTTCCGAAGAAAAGAAGACGTATGGTTATCAATTCGGACAGTGAAAGCGATTCAGTAAAAGATTTTGTCCTACAAAATTTACCTACTTCTTCAAACACGTACACAAAATGGAAGAACCCTACTGGATGCACTGCTCGAGTGATACCCTTCACTGAGCCCACAGGTATGAAGTTTCCTTTTTCAAGAGACTTAAGTCAAGGAGATCCAGAGGATTTTTATTCTTTGTTAGTTGACGATTCCTTGTTTGAAATAATTGCTGAACAAAGTAACCTGTTTGCTACGCAAAGCTTTGGAGATAAAGATTTCAAGCCATGTTCTCGCTCACATACATGGCAGCCAACCGATAAGCATGAAATAAAACGATTTTTTGGACTAATTTTATTCATGGGCCTTGTGAAATTGCCATCAATTAGTGATTACTGGAGTACAGATGACATATTTCAACAACCGTTTCCTCGCACAGTGATGACTAGGAACAGATTTGAATTACTTTTACAGTACCTACACTTTGCCGACAATTACAACTTGAATCCGAACGATCGCATTGGAAAAATCAGGTATCTTGTGAATTTGTTAAATGATAAATTTAAAGCCTACTATGCCCCTAAAGAAGAACTGTGTGTCGACGAAAGTATGATTCCTTTTAGAGGTCGAGTCACTTTTCGACAATATAACAAATCTAAAAGGCACAAATACGGTATAAAATTGTTTAAAGTTTGTACAAATCCTGGTTATACTTTAAAAAATACAGGTATACAGTGGAAAAAATATTGATATTGAGAATAATACCCCTACAAAAATAGTATTATCCCTGTGCGATGAACTCTTGAATAAAGGCCACACCATTGCCACTGATAACTGGTACACCAGCTTGGAACTGGCGTACGAATTACTAAAAAACGATACACATTTCCTGGGGACAGTGAGAAAGAACAGAAAGTACTTGCCTAGGAAAGTAGTAGAAACTAATTTAAAACGAGGTGAATTCGTAGCACAAGAAAACGATTGTGGCATCACAGTATTAAAATGGAAAGATAAAAGAGATGTTTTAATGCTGTCTACAAAGCACGCGGACAAATTTACTCGATTAAATGTCAGAGGCAAGGCGGTGCAAAAACCAGCAATGGTTATTGATTATAACAAATGTAAAGCTTCAGTCGACATGAGTGATCAGATGACAGCTTATTCAACTCCACTGAGAAAAACTGTCAAATGGTATAGAAAATTGGCCATAGAATTGCTCTTGAATACAGCTGTGGTAAATGCGTTGATAATGTATAAGGAAACCACTAAGAAAAATATTTCAGTATTAGATTATAGAAAAAATCTCGTTCAATATCTCACTAAATCAGGACGTCCAGAAACAGGTAACTTGGCACTTGAATTACGTCCAAAACGACGAAAACATGAACTTGTCAAAAAAGAGGGACCTGTACGCAAAATGAGACGATTTTGTGTCGGCTGTTACAAGAACAATGTAGAAAAGATGTCGAGAAAAGACGCAAAAAATAAGACCCTGAAAGTGCCTACCTATTGTTTGCAGTGTGATGGTCAGCCACATTATTGCCTGCCATGTTTTAATAGAGAGCATCGAACGTAATTTGGACAATAATTTTTGTTTGTAATATTTTCAATATAATAACTTTTAAATTACTATCTAAATTGTTTTGTGAGCCTTTCTATGACCACGTGTAAAATATTGATATTTCTTTGTGATTGATATATTATTATGTTATTAAAACATTAATACTGTAAAAGATTTTTGTATCTTTTGAATCTTAAAACTACGATATTTAAAACCAAATTTTATATGAAACATTTTTTTTGCGTATTTTTCTTCTAAATTTTACTAGGCAGGTGTGTCCCACTGCAAAGGATTGCTCTCAAGCGCCGCGCCGGTCACTCACATAGGCGAAATAAACGACACGCGTGACCGGTGGCGCAAAAAAGCACTTTAAATTTAGATCTCGCATGTGGTCACCGGTGTCCCCCATGGCGCAATAAAGCAACATACATGAGGTCACCGGTGCCCCCCATGGCGTTTAACGTGTTAATACGAGGGCGGCACTGAAAATTACAAAAATAATATCTATATCTGCAGCTTGGCTCTAACACAAACATTACTAATATTTAATACGAGGGCGGCACGGAAAATTACAAAAATAATATCTATATCTGCAGCTTGGCTCTAACACAAACATTACTAATATTTAATACGAGGGCGGCACGGAAAATTACAAAAATAATATCTATATCTGCAGCTTGGCTCTAACACAAACATTACTAATATTTAATACGAGGGCGGCACGGAAAATTACAAAAATAATATCTATATCTGCAGCTTGGCTCTAACACAAACATTACTAATATTTAATACGAGGGCGGCACGGAAAATTACAAAAATAATATCTATATCTGCAGCTTGGCTCTAACACAAACATTACTAATATTTAATACGAGGGCGGCACGGAAAATTACAAAAATAATATCTATATCTGCAGCTTGGCTCTAACACAAACATTACTAATATTTAATACGAGGGCGGCACTGAAAATTACAAAAATAATATCTATATCTGCAGCTTGGCTCTAACACAAACATTACTAATATTTAATACGAGGGCGGCACGGAAAATTACAAAAATAATATCTATATCTGCAGCTTGGCTCTAACACAAACATTACTAATATTTAATACGAGGGCGGCACTGAAAATTACAAAAATAATATCTATATCTGCAGCTTGGCTCTAACACAAACATTACTAATATTTAATACGAGGGCGGCACGGAAAATTACAAAAATAATATCTATATCTGCAGCTTGGCTCTAACACAAACATTACTAATATTTAATACGAGGGCGGCACGGAAAATTACAAAAATGATATCTATATCTGCAGCTTGGCTCTAACACAAACATTACTAATATTTAATACGAGGGCGGCACGGAAAATTACAAAAATGATATCTATATCTGCAGCTTGGCTCTAACACAAACATTACTAATATTTAATACGAGGGCGGCACTGAAAATTTCGGGAATAAGGGAAGTGACACAACATTACTACTTAAAAATGTATTTATTGCTTTTCGAAGTATTCTCCGCGAAATTTGACACATTTTTCCATACGATGGAACTAATCATTGAAGCAACCATTCCATTCGGAAGTTGGGGTCTCCAAAATGGCCGCTTTGTAGGCGTCCACAGCTTCTTCAGGTGATGAAAATCTCTGTCGACGCAATTTATTCTTTATTTTAGGGAAAGTATAGAAATCATTAGGGCTTAGGTCGGGGCTGTACGGCGGATGGTCTAATAATTCTACGTTTTCTTGCTCTAAAAACTTTTTTTGTTCTGTGTGCGGTGTGAAAACTCGCATTGTCGTGATGGAGGATGATGCGGTGGTTGCAGTTCTCTTTACGGAGTTCAGAAACGACCTGTGGCAAACAAATGCTAGCATACCATTCTGCATTAACCGTTCTTTGTCCCTCGTGAGGAATAGTCGTAACATGGCCGGTTTTGGAGACAAACGTGGCCACCATTTTTATTGCAACACTCCGTGAACGAACAATTTTCGTTGGCTTTAACTCATTTTCGAACACCCAAACTCGTGACTGGTTTTATGTTTCGGGTTCATTTATATTATTTTCAGTATATTTATGTATAAAATTACCGATTGCCAGAATAAACCGCTTGTACCTAAGTACTGTGAGTTTAATATTGCAGTGTCAGATTAACGTTTAAAATAATTGCATAAAATTTCGTAGATATAAACACAGAGTCAAAAAGACGGTAAAAACACACTAAAATTTATACGTGTAATTTAATTTTTATACGTGATATAATATTTTTTACACGTAATATAATAGAGCCACGCTACAGCTGTATGGTTGTAACCAGAATGGATCGGCTTGACCGGGGAAGGACTACTAAATTCGCTACACGATAGTGAGTGTAGAGAACCTTTTTACTGGAATGAGGCATTCCATCTTCGTTCTCATGGATGACATAACAACTGCATTTGAGTCTAGGATAGATGTGGATATGAGCCACAGCATCCATTAGTCATCAGGTGGATGGTGCATCCTCATTCTATAAAGATATCTTTTAACTTCGCTGCTTCGTCCACACAATAACGATTTTATAATGTACTAGTTTTTAAAATAGACATTACTTTCATTACCTCACTGTATTTATTAATAAAAAGGACCTCCCCCCCAAATAGAATCGTTCTTAAGTGATTTCTATCCAAATATGGTAATCCTATACAATCAATAAAACTGTGTACATGTGGGTATAAAACGCTTATAAACATACAAAATAATCTTAAAAAAAAACCTTACATTCATACCAAAATGGCTTCAAGCAACTTGAGATGAAATTTACATGGAGGGTGAAGGCCAACGGTCCCGACCTCATGCATTATTAAGTTGTATTTAGCCGTGATCCGAGTGCGTTTAGCCTATGTACGTATTGTAATTTACTATTTGTTGCGTCGTTGGCGTAAATATTTAATGATCATGTGTTACTATGATAAAACGAACATTGTCATTATACGTGGCAGAGCCAAGCTGCAGTTATATATGCAGTACAGTTGTAGCACGAATACGTCGGCGCGACTGGGGAACAAGCACGCTGTCACAGAATACCAGCGTGAAATAGTAGCTTAATGCTGCTGTGTTTCGTATGGCGAGTGTAGAGAACCGGAGAACATTTTGATTGGAAACGAGGCATTACATCTTAGTCCTCACGGATGACAAGGCATCTGCATATTGATTCTTAATCTAGGATAAATCTAGATGTCTACGGATCATAGCATCCACTTACCACCAGGTGAACTATGTGCTTGTTTGTCACCCTATCCAAAATAAAACTCTTCGTTTTTTTTTAATTTAAACTTTATGCCTTATAAGGAGCCTACTAAGCCTATATAGCCTACTAAGGAGTTTATTGGCATTTACTCCTTAGGAATTGTTTCATACAGAGCCCACGGTGTGAAAAATAGATGCATAAGAAAATAAAACGTTACCAAAAAGTGAAGTCGTTACGGTTTTCCTCTGCGCTACATACTCGCGCATCTCATAGCGTGAAATAGATAATATCATATAAATAATATTATATTTTTATATATTATATTTCATTAAATCGATATAAATAAATATATTAGTTCATTTACTTAATTTGCCTATTGTGTATAATTCAAGACAATCGCTTTTCAGGAGTAGGTACTACAGTCACACGTCAGAGCTGATATACGCACAATTTTGTTTATTTTATCAACCGTCTTCAAAAAAGGATAAGGTTGACCAACGAGCACACAGTCTACCTGGTGGTAAGTGGATGCTGTGGCTCATAGACATTTAATCGCGATTAAGAATCAAAATGGAGATGCGTTGTCACCATTGAGGACTGAGATGGAATGCCTCGATTCCAGTAAAACGGTCTCCGGTTCTCGAAACTCACCATACGAAACACAACAGCATTAAGTTGCTACTTTACGCTGGTATTCTGTGAGAGCGTGATCCTTCCCCGGTCAAGCCGACTCACTCATGCTACAACCATAATATAGCTGCAGCGTGGCTTTACCACGTAAAAAATTAGTTCTCAATTCGACTCCATTTTTTTGTGTTTATTACCTCAGATTTTGATGATTCTTTTTTGATCGAGATCCGACAAGTAGTTTTTGAGTTATCCTTAATAATGCGTATTTAATTCACTTAGACTACATTGATGATGTTCTCGTTTTATTTAGAGTCGTTAGTACAAAGTTTTTAATTTTACCACTTGTCCATACACACACAGCCCCGTCTGACATGTTCACAAAATACTTCACAATTTTGTTTGCTCAGAAAATTCTTTAGATACATTGTGAAGTTTTAGTAGATTTTGACGACATCCTAACCCAACGGGCAGTCCATGACAATAGATCTCAAGGCACAATATGATATAAAGTACTTGATTTTGTGCTCAATGCTCGAGGCAACTAAACGGATTAAATTAACTTTTGGGTGCAGAATACCGTGGGCGATCAAGTTCCCGCCAAAATTTCCAAATTTTCTTCGTAAACGTAGACCATACATTCATACGTTCGTAAATAACATTCCTTTTCTTTTTTCGCAGACAATGAAAACAAATACGGAAAATATTGTTTATTTTTGGAGTAATGTAAAAAAGTACAATCAAAAAATTACTATAAACTTCGTGGCGCAGTGGTTTAGCAATGAGTTGCGGCGGCTAGAGTCGCGGTTTCGAATCCCGCACGAAACAAGTATTTGCATGGCCTACATATAATTGTTCTGCTTCTGGATGTTAGTAAACTGCCTCCTCCTCCTGCCTCCTATATCGTATAGGCGAAAATCCTGGAGAAACGTGAAAAAAATCAAATAATCTAATTACTATGTATAGATCGCTGTGAAATTGTACTCTTGACTGTTGAATTGTGAATCTCCACTTTTTAAAAAAAAGGAATCTTTATTTCTACTAGGGATTTCTCTTTTATTGTGTAGGCGTTGAAATACATAATCATAATGTGAATATGAACAAACCACTAGACCCAGTGTTGGAACAATTATATATTATGAAGTCTATGTAATGTAAAACC